CACAAGGTGGTGTTGTGGGCATGTGTAGATATGTGACGTATATTGTATGTATACTGTACAGTATATTTACGTATACTTAGTGGTGTTTCTTTATCCACCTCCGCTTTCTCTCCCTCTCCCTCTCTGTCTCGGACAACTCGGTGACGTGACTGAAGAGTACTGGTGCATACAAATGAACATGAAAGTGTTAAATGATAAAATGTGAATACAGAGACATAACAAGTATAACAATACGCATGCACGCGCGCGCATACACGTGCAGGGAGCTGGTGGCTGAGTAGACAGTATGCTAGATAAGTCGTCCTGTGGTCCGGGGTTCGATTCCCGGCGCCGGTGGAAATAAGAATGGACAGAGTTTCTTTCGCCCTGATGCCTCTGTTACCTCTGTGGGGGGCCCTCGTAGCCTGGTGGATAGCGCGCAGGACTCGTAATTCTGTGGCGCGGGTTCGATTCCCGCACGAGGTAGAAACAAATGGGCAAAGTTTCTTTCACCCTGAATGCCCCTGTTACCTAGCAGTAAATAGGTACCTGGGAGTTAAGTCAGCTGTCACGGGCTGCTTCCTGGGGGTGGAGGCCTGGTCGAGGACCGGGCCGCAGGGACACTAAAGCCCCGAAATCATCTCAAGATAACCTCAAGATAACCTAGCAGAAAATAGGTACTTGGGGGTTAGACCGCTCTTACGTGCTGCTTCCTGTGTGTGTGTGTGGGGGGGGGGGTTAACCTGTACACCAGTTGATTGATAGTTGAGAGGCGGGACCAAAGAGCCAGAGCTCAACCCCCGCAAACACAACTACGTGTATACAGAGTCAGTGTGGACCCAGGAAAGAATGTGGACACCAGTCATTAACTGTCCACCGCTGATCACCAGTCAGTAATTGGTGCCCCTGGTGGAGTGAGCACCCGCACCTGACTCTGGCCACCCTGCCTCTCACCCTGCTGACTCTAGTGGCTAGAGTCCTGCTGACTCTAGTGGCTAGAGTGCTGCTGACTCTAGTGGCTAGAGTCCTGCTGACTCTAGTGGCTAGAGTCCTGCTGACTCTAGTGGCTAGAGTCCTGCTGACTCTAGTGGCTACAGTCCTGCTGACTCTAGTGGCTAGAGTCCTGCTGACTCTAGCCACTAGAGTGCTGCTGACTCTAGTGGCTAGAGTCCTGCTGACTCTAGTGGCTAGAGTGCTGCTGACTCTAGTGGCTAGAGTCCTGCTGACTCTAGTGGCTAGAGTCCTGCTGACTCTAGTGGCAACAGTCCTGCTGACTCTAGTGGCTAGAGTCCTGCTGACTCTAGTGGCTAGAGTCCTGCTGACTCTAGTGGCTAGAGTCCTGCTGACTCTAGTGGCTAGAGTCCTGCTGACTCTAGTGGCTAGAGTCCTGCTGACTCTAGTGGCTAGAGTCCTGCTGACTCTAGTGGCTAGAGTCCTGCTGACTCTAGTGGCTAGAGTCCTGCTGACTCTAGTGGCTAGAGTCCTGCTGACTCTAGTGGCTAGAGTCCTGCTGACTCTAGTGGCTAGAGTCCTGCTGACTCTAGTGGCTAGAGTCCTGCTGACTCTAGTGGCTAGAGTCCTGCTGACTCTAGTGGCTAGAGTCCTGCTGACTCTAGTGGCTAGAGTCCTGCTGACTCTAGTGGCTAGACTCCTGCTGACTCTAGTGGCTAGAGTCCTGCTGACTCTAGTGGCTAGAGTCCTGCTGACTCTAGTGGCTAGAGTACTGCTGACTCTAGTGGCTAGAGTCCTGCTGACTCTAGTGGCTAGAGTCCTGCTGACTCTAGTGGCTAGAGTCCTGCTGACTCTAGTGGCTAGAGTCCTGCTGACTCTAGTGGCTAGAGTTCTGCTGACTCTAGTGGCTAGAGTCCTGCTGACTCTAGTGGCTAGAGTCCTGCTGACTCTAGTGGCTAGAGTCCTGCTGACTCTAGTGGCTAGAGTCCTGCTGACTCTATAGTGGCTAGAGTCCTGCTGACTCTAGTGGCTAGAGTCCTGCTGACTCTATAGTGGCTAGAGTCCTGCTGACTCTAGTGGCTAGAGTCCTGCTGACTCTAGCCACTAGAGTGCTGCTGACTCTAGTGGCTAGAGTCCTGCTGACTCTAGTGGCTAGAGTCCTGCTGACTCTAGTGGCTAGAGTTCTGCTGACTCTAGTGGCTAGAGTCCTGCTGACTCTATAGTGGCTAGAGTCCTGCTGACTCTAGTGGCTAGTGTCCTGCTGACTCTAGTGGCTAGAGTCCTGCTGACTCTAGTGGCTAGAGTCCTGCTGACTCTAGTGGCTAGAGTCCTGCTGACTCTAGTGGCTAGAGTCCTGCTGACTCTAGTGGCTAGTTCTGCTGACTCTAGTGGCTAGAGTTCTGCTGACTCTAGAATCTAAGAGTCCTGCTGACTCTAACTGTGGAGTTAGAGTTCCCTCCAGTTCTGCCTTCAGGATAGGAGAGGATAAGCTGGCCTCACTTATCCTTACCCTAAGAAAGGGGGTGGGGACGGTGGGGTCCTCTCCTGGGGGGGGGGGGAAAGTCAGCCCTTGATATGCAAAAATTAAATTCTTTGCCTGACAGCACACATGAATATGTGAGCTATATGTATCCTCTCTCCCTCCCTCCCTCCCTCCCTCCCTCCCTCCCTCCTTGTGGGAGTGAGGTGTGAGAGACGGAGGGAGAGGGAGAGAAGAGAGAGAGAGAGAGAGAGAGAGAGAGAGAGAGAGAGAGAGAGAGAGAGAGAGAGAGAGAGAGAGAGAGAGAGAGAGAGAGAGAGAGAGAGAGAGAGAGAAAATGCAGAAAATAAAAGCGTGAAGGTAGAGGAGAAAGGTGACTGAGGCGGATGAAGGAGGAGGGGAAGAAGAGAGGAGGAGGAGGAGAGAAGGAGAGTAAGAGGTGGGAGTGAAGATGTGGTGAGAGAGGAGCGGGGACAGGCAGTGAGGGGGAGGAGCAATGTTGCAAGTAGGACTATCAATATGGAAGTGGAGGAGACAAATGATAAAGAGGAACAGAGGACAACACAAAGGAATGGCAAGAAAATCACCGCAAGGACAAGGAATGTGTACTCACCTAGTTGTGCTTGCGGGGGTTGAGCTCTGGCTCTTTGGTCCCGCCTCTCGACTGTCAATCAACTGATGTACAGGTTCCTGAGCCTACTGGACTCTATCATATCTACACTTGAAACTGTGTATGGAGTCAGCCTCCACCACATCACTGCCTAATGCATTCCAACTGTTAACTACTCTGACACTGAAAAAGTTCCTTCTAACGTCTCTGTGGCTCATGTGGGTACTCAGTCTCCACCTGTGTCCCCTTGTTCGCGTCCCACCAGTGTTGAATAGTTTATCCTTGTCTACACTGTTAATTCCCCTGAGGATTTTGTAGGTAGTGATCATGTCTCCCCTCACTCTTCTGTCCTCCAGTGTCGTAAGGTGCATTTCCCGCACCCCTTCCTCATAACTCATGCCTCTTAGTTCTGGGACTAGTCTAGTGCCATACCTCTGAACTTTCTCCAGCTTCGTCTTGTGCTTGACAAGGTACGGGCTCCATGCTGGGGCCGCATACTCCAGGATTGGTCTTACATATGTGGTGTACAAGATTCTGAATGATTCCTTACACAGGTTCCTGAACGCTGTTCTGATGTTAGCCAGCCTCGCATATGCCGCAGACGTTATTCTTTTTATGTGGGCTTCAGGAGACAGGTTTGGTGTGATATCAACTCCTAGATCTTTCTATCTGTCTGTTTCATTAAGTACTTCATCTCCTATTCTGTATCCTGTATCTGGCCTCCTGTTTCCACTGCCTAGTTTCATTACTTTGCATTTACTCGGGTTGAGCTTCAACAGCCATTTGTTGGACCATTCACTCAGTCTATCCAGGTCATCTTGTAGCCTCCTACTATCATCCTCTGTTTCAATCCTCCTCATAATTTTTGCATCATCAGCAAACATTGAGAAACGTTGTGTGTGTGTTTACTAGTTGTGTTTTTACGGGGGTTGAGCTTTGCTCTTTCGGCCCGCCTCTCAACTGTCAATCAACTGTTTACTAACTACTTTTTTTTTTTTTTTTTTCACACCACACACACACACACACACACACACCAGGAAGCAGCCCGTGACAGCTGACTAACTCCCAGGTACCTATTTACTGCTAGGTAACAGGGGCATTCAGGGTGAAAGAAACTTTGCCCATTTGTTTCTGCCTCGTGCGGGAATCGAACCCGCGCCACAGAATTACGAATCCTGCGCGCTATCCACCAGGCTACGAGGCCCCCTTGTGTGTGTGTGTGTGTGTGTGTGTGTGTGTGTGTGTGTGTGTGTGTGTGTGTGTGTGTGTGTGTGTGTGTGTGTGTGCAGGCTGGCCATCCCACCATAAACAAAGGCCGTGTCTGCCAGTAGCAACTTCACATTGTCACCCCGTGTTCCTTACCAACCAGGAGCACGCTACTTCACCTTCCTTCACAACGGGGGAGGGGGATGCTTGGAACAGGTCCACCCCGTTCCTCAGCAGGGAGCCGCGTGCTACTTTCCCTATCTACCTTTGCTACCTATCTACCTTTGCTACCTTTGCTACCTTCTCCTGTCTTGTCCCCCCCTCTCCCCCCCCCCCAACTCTCAGGAGTAAATAATGTGTCGCGGACGGGTTGGTGTTCTGTATCTCCCATGCCAGGTGTGGGAGTATATCATGCCAGGTGTGGGAGTATATCATGCCAGGTGTGGGAGTATATCATGCCAGGTGTGGGAGTGCCAGGTGTGGGAGTGCCAGGTGTGGGAGTGCCAGGCGTGGGAGTGCCAGGCGTGGGAGTGTCAGGTGTGGGAGTGTCAGGTGTGGGAGTGTCAGGTGTGGGTGTGTCAGGTGTGGGAGTGCCAGGTGTGGGAGTGCCAGGTGTGGGAGTGTCAGGTGTGGGAGTGCCAGATGTGGGAGTGCCAGGCGTGGGAGTGACAGGTGTGGGAGTGTCAGGTGTGGGAGTGTCAGGTGTGGGTGTGTCAGGTGTGGGAGTGCCAGGTGTGGGAGTGCCAGGTGTGGGAGTGCCAGGTGTGGGAGTGCCAGGTGTGGGAGTGCCAGGCGTGGGAGTGCCAGGCGTGGGAGTGCCAGGCATGGGAGTGCCAGGCATGGGAGTGCCAGGCGTGGGAGTGCCAGGCGTGGGAGTGCCAGGCGTGGGAGTGCCAGGCGTGGGAGTGCCAGGCCTGGGAGTGCCAGGCGTGGGAGTGCCAGGCGTGGGAGTGCCAGGCATGTGAGTGCCAGGCGTAGGAGTGCCAGGCGTGGGAGTGCCAGGCATGTGAGTGCCAGGCGTGGGAGTGCCAGGCATGGGAGTGCCAGGCATGTGAGTGCCAGGCGTAGGAGTGCCAGGCGTGGGAGTGCCAGGCATGCGAGTGCCAGGCGTGGGAGTGCCAGGCATGGGAGTGCCAGGCGTGCGAGTGCCATGCGTGGGAGTGCCAGACACGGGAGTGCCAGGCGTGGGAGTGCCAGGCGTGGGAGTGCCAGGCGTGGGAGTGCCAGGCACGGGAGTGCCAGACACGGGAGTGCCAGGCGTGGGAGTGCCAGGCGTGGGAGTGCCAGGCACGGGAGTGCCAGACACGGGAGTGCCAGGCGTGGGAGTGCCAGGCGTAGGAGTGCCAGACACGGGAGTGCCAGGCGTGGGAGTGCCAGGCGTGGGAGTGCCAGGCACGGGAGTGCCAGACACGGGAGTGCCAGGCGTGGGAGTGCCAGGCGTGGGAGTGCCAGGCGTGGGAGTGCCAGGCGTGGGAGTGCCAGGCACGGGAGTGCCAAGCGTGGGAGTGCCAGGCACGGGAGTGCCAGACACGGGAGTGCCAGGCGTGGGAGTGCCAGGCGTGGGAGTGCCATGCGTGGGAGTGCCAGGCACGGGAGTGCCAGACACGGGAGTGCCAGGCGTGGGAGTGCCAGGCGTGGGAGTGTCAGGCACGGGAGTGCCAGGCGTGGGAGTGCCAGGCGTGGGAGTGTCAGGCACGGGAGTGCCAGGCGTGGGAGTGCCAGGCGTGGGAGTGCCAGGCACGGGAGTGCCAGACACGGGAGTGCCAGGCGTGGGAGTGCCAGGCACGGGAGTGCCAGACACGGGAGTGCCAGGCGTGGGAGTGCCAGGCGTGGGAGTGCCATGCGTGGGAGTGCCAGGCGTGGGAGTGCCAGGCACAGGAGTGCCAGACACGGGAGTGCCAGGCGTGGGAGTGCCAGACGTGGGAGTGCCAGGCCTGGGAGTGCCAGGCATGGGAGTGCCAGGCGTGGGAGTGCCAGGCGTGGGAGTGCCAGGCATGGGAGTGCCAGGCATGGGAGTGCCAGGCGTGGGAGTGCCAGGCACGGGAGTGCCAGACACGGGAGTGCCAGGCGTGGGAGTGCCAGGCGTGGGAGTGCCAGGCGTGGGAGTGCCAGGCATGAGTACCAGGCGTGGGAGTGCCATGCGTGGGAGTGCCAGGCGTGGGAGTGCCAGGCGTGGGAGTGCCAGGCATGAGTACCAGGCGTGGGAGTGCCATGCACCACCAGTCTCACACCAGCCAGCATGTGACACCACCAGTCTCACACCAGCCAGCATGTGACACCACCAGTCTCACACCAGCCAGCATGTGACACCACCAGTCTCACACCAGCCAGCATGTGACACCACCACCAGTCACACACCAGCCAGCATGTGACACCACCAGTCACACACCAGCCAGCATGTGACACCACCAGTCTCACACCAGCCAGCATGTGACACCACCAGTCTCACACCAGCCAGCATGACACCACCACACCACCAGTACACCAGCCACCAGCCAGCATGTGACACCACCAGTCACACACCAGCCAGCATGTGACACCACCACACACCAGCCAGCATGTGACACCACCAGTCTCACACCAGCCAGCATGTGACACCACCAGTCACACACCAGCCAGCATGTGACACCACCAGTCTCACACCAGCCAGCATGTGACACCACCCAGCATGTGACACCACCAGTCTCACAGCATGTGACACCACCAGTCACACACCAGCCAGCATGTGACACCACCAGCCAGCATGTGACACCAGCATGTGACACACCAGCCAGCCAGACACCATGTGACACCACCAGCCAGCATGTGACACACCAGCCAGCATGTGACACCACCAGTCTCACACCAGCCAGCATGTGACACCACCAGTCTCACACCAGCCAGCATGTGACACCACCAGTCTCACACCAGCCAGCATGTGACACCACCAGTCTCACACCAGCCAGCATGTGACACCACCAGTCTCACACCAGCCAGCATGTGACACCACCAGTCTCACACCAGCCAGCATGTGACACCACCAGTCTCACACCAGCCAGCATGTGACACACACCAGTCCACACCAGCCAGCATGTGACACCACCAGCATGTGACACACCAGCCAGCATGTGACACCACCAGTCTCACACCAGCCAGCATGTGACACCACCAGTCTCACACCATGTGACACCACCAGTCTCACACCAGCCAGCATGTGACACCACCAGTCTCACACCAGCCAGCATGTGACACCACCAGTCTCACACCAGCCAGCATGTGACACCACCAGTCTCACACCAGCCAGCATGTGACACCACCAGTCTCACACACCAGCCAGCATGTGACACCACCAGCCAGCATGTGACACACCACCAGCCAGCATGTGACACCACCAGTCTCACACCAGCCAGCATGTGACACCACCAGTCTCACACCAGCCAGCATGTGACACCACCAGTCTCACACCAGCCAGCATGTGACACCACCAGTCTCACACCAGCCAGCATGTGACACCACCAGTCTCACACCAGCCAGCATGTGACACCACCAGTCTCACACCAGCCAGCATGTGACACCACCAGTCTCACACCAGCCAGCATGTGACACCACCAGTCTCACACCAGCCAGCATGTGACACCACCAGAGCCAGCACACACCAGCCAGCATGTGACACCACCAGTCACACACCAGCCAGCCACCACCATGTCACACCAGCCAGCATGTGACACCACCAGTCTCACACCAGCCAGCATGTGACACCACCAGTCTCACACCAGCCAGCATGTGACACCACCAGTCTCACACCAGCCAGCATGTGACACCACCAGTCTCACACCAGCCAGCATGTGACACCACCAGTCACACCAGCCAGCATGTGACACCACCAGTCTCACACCAGCTAGCATGTGACACCACCAGTCTCACACCAGCCAGCATGTGACACCACCAGCCAGCATGTGACACCAGCCAGCATGTGACACCACCAGTGACACACCAGCCAGCATGTCACACCAGCCAGCATGTGACACCACCACACACCAGCCAGCATGTGACACCACCACCTCACACCAGCAGCACCACCACCAGTGACACACCAGCCAGCATGTGACACCACCAGTGACACACACCAGCCAGCATGTGACACCACCAGTGTCACACCAGCCAGCATGTGACACCACCAGTCACACACCAGCCAGCATGTGACACCACCAGTCTCACACCAGTCTCACACCAGCCAGCATGTGACACCACCAGTCTCACACCAGCCAGCATGTGACACCACCAGTCTCACACCAGCCAGCATGTGACACCACCAGTCACACACCAGCCAGCCAGACACCATGTGACACACCAGCCAGCATGTGACACCACCAGTCTCACACCAGCCAGCATGTGACACCACCAGTCACACACCAGCCAGCATGTGACACCACCAGTCTCACACCAGCCAGCATGTGACACCACCAGTCTCACACCAGCCAGCATGTGACACCACCAGTCAGAGAACATATACGGCACGCATAGACGAGATAAAACACCTAAATTATTGGGATCGTCTCAAAGCTCTCCAAATGTACTCACTAGAAAGGAGACGAGAGAGATACCAAATAATATACACCTGGAAGATACTGGAGGCCAAGTACCAAATCTACACAGTAAAATAACAACGTACTAGAGTGAACGATATGGAAGAAAATGCAGAATAGAACCAGTGAAGAGCAGAGGTGCCATAGGCACAATCAGAGAACACTGTATAAACATCAGAGGTCCACGATTGTTCAACGTCCTCCCAGCGACTATAAGAAATATTGCCGGAACAATCGTGGACATCTTCAAGAGGAACTTGTATAATTATTCGTCAGTATATTTGGAAGCGACGCGGGTGGGTGGGGGGAGGGGTATTGGGGTATGAAGGGGGGGAGGGAAGGGTAGGGGGGAAGGGGGATCAGGTGTAGGGGGAGAGAGGGAAGGTGTGGGGGGGGGGAAACAGTGGAACAATAAACTTGTTTTGGTATTATTTCCCCTCACACTAACCATTTCCCCTCCCTCCCTCTCTCCACCCCCCCCCCCTCCCTCTGTGGTTCAGGGGGGTTGGTCTGGGGAGGGAAGTGTCCGGGGGGGGGGAGGGGGAGGGGGCAGGTAAAGCACCAGCGAGGCCCCCAATATTCTGCTTCCTGCCCTCACGCTAAATTGGCCCTCTGCCCTCTTATCAGGAGGGCAGAGGGAGGGAGGGAGGGAGGGAAGGTCTAGAGGGAGATCCAAACACCTGGCAATATGGAGCTAGGACCTCGTCCCACCTGCTGGGATGCGTGCTAGGACCTCGTCCCACCTGCTGGGATGCGTGCTAGGACCTCGTCCCACCTGCTGGGATGCATGCTAGGACCTCGTCCCGCCTGCTGGGATGCGTGCTAGGACTTCGTCCCGCCTGCTGGGATGCGTGCTAGGACCTCGTCCCACCTGCTGGGATGCGTGCTAGGACCTCGTCCCGCCTGCTGGGATGCGTGCTAGGACCTCGTCCCACCTACTGGGATGCGTGCTAGGACCTCGTCCCACCTGCTGGGATGCGTGCTAGGACCTCGTCCCACCTGCTGGGATGCGTGCTAGGACCTCGTCCCACCTGCTGGGATGCATGCTAGGACCTCGTCCCACCTGCTGGGATGCGTGCTAGGACCTCGTCCCGCCTGCTGGGATGCGTGCTAGGACCTCGTCCCGCCTGCTGGGATGCGTGCTAGGACCTCGTCCCACCTGCTGGGATGCGTGCTAGGACCTCGTCCCGCCTGCTGGGATGCGTGCTAGGACCTCGTCCCACCTACTGGGATGCGTGCTAGGACCTCGTCCCACCTGCTGGGATGCGTGCTAGGACCTCGTCCCACCTGCTGGGATGCGTGCTAGGACCTCGTCCCACCTGCTGGGATGCATGCTAGGACCTCGTCCCACCTGCTGGGATGCGTGCTAGGACCTCGTCCCGCCTGCTGGGATGCGTGCTAGGACCTCGTCCCGCCTGCTGGGATGCGTGCTAGGACCTCGTCCCATCTGCTGGGATGCGTGCTAGGACCTCGTCCCGCCTGCTGGGATGCGTGCTAGGACCTCGTCCCACCTACTGGGATGCGTGCTAGG